GTGTGCGCGGGTGTGCGCGGGTGTGTGTGTGTGTGTGTGCACGCGTGTCTGCCGACAACGGCACGAAACACATCGCCCCAAACAAGTGTCAATTCGTTGGGCAGCGCTTTGATGACTTATCTCTAGGGTTGTTCTCTTTTTGAACCCTGGCTACGATGCTAACTTCTTAGATGACTCTCCAACCATCTTCTGTGCCGCCCAGCCTCTCAAATCGGCAGGGTTGTTCAATTTCTTCATGCGTGACGGTGGGGTTTGGGGCTTTGTTGGGACATCAGAAACCCGGCTCCTGAATAGCTGATTTCGGGAGGGAAGTCTCGCCTCTCAATGAGCCATGCCTTCAATCTCTCAATTAGGCGGCGCTGGCTGGTGGAAAAGGGGGGCTAGGTCCGGGTTCTTAAGCTACCGATTTTTGACACGATGCTGTAGTGGTAACTTCTACAACTAAGTGCCACCACCCATGCAGCGCTGTCCGGCTGGTGATTGTGCTGGCCGTGTCAAACCCCGAACCACAAATCCCTGAAAGAGGCGATGCAATAAATGCGCAACTGCCTGGTTCCCTAAACTTTAAATTAAAGCTTTGACAATCCAAACCTGAAGCTTCAACCTGGCTCTTCATAGGCGGCCGGCATGAGCGAGGATGGAGGCAGCGGCGCTTCAGTTTCGTTGAAACGGTTTAGGGCTCAAAAGGGGTTTGGAGTTTATTCATGCATGTCTGCTTATGGGTGTAGCCCTTTAACCCATGAAGCATCATACCACAACAAGCCAACAGGACACGATGCCTGAAGCCTATACTGACTGTTGCAGTGTTAAGGGCCATAGTGTATGGACAAGCCACTAAGAAACCTGGGGCTGATACTCTCACGGTTGTTCAAGGCAGCAGGAAGTCGTGCAAGCGAAAAGTTGTGCTGCCCAAACACGAGAGGGGTGAAAAGCTTTAGTTGTTGAGAGGCACAAACCTGGCGTCCGTGCAGGCCCGAATCGCGAACCGCTTACCCCTGAAATGCACCCTGCAACTCTCAAGCCCGATGCTTCAGCCTAAGCTTACATGGCAGCCAGATTTATTGCAAAGCCTCTTCTAAACCCATAGACGACTCAAGCTGAAGTCCTGAACTGTCACCCCTCTCTCCGCCGGATGCCGGATGCAAGGTGGTCCGGGTGTCTGGTTCCATCCGTTCTTCCAGGAGGCAGCTGGAGTGTAAAAGTGCTACTGGTAGCCACTAGTCCCTTCATCTCCGATTCTTGGGGTTGTTCTTCCCCGTCACAGGGCAGAAGTGATCAAATAGACGCCGGTTTAACAATACGGGGAGAAACAATGCCCACAAGAAGGTTTTAGGGTGTCGGCTGCATGGACTCCGTAAGATTCGGTGCTTAGAGTTCAGAATCTCCAACATTGTGTCTAGGGATCATGCTCAGCCTTGAGTGCAGACATCATCGCGCAGGTCAATCGAAGCGGGGACGGCGAGAGCAGCACCATAAATGTCGTCGTGATGGACGTGCTTCAAGTACCTGACGAGGGGGCTTGAACAAGTAGCGCTGGGGCTTTGGGGGTGGGGTTTCTGGGCGACGGGTTCGCACCGAGCCAGCGCTTTGAGTGCAGACTTGGGAAGCAAGGGCCGCGCCGGCCCCATCGACTGTACAGCCGGGTGCAAAGATGATCAGAACAGGCCTGGTTCGTTTTGATGTCTGCCCACGCTCCGAGTTTCAAGCGGTGCAGCCGCAGTGCGGCCAGACTTGGCTGTAAGAAGCCAGCACCATCGAGACTGAACACAGCAATGTCGAACTGTGTGCTTCTGCCACTTCCCATATATCACTTGTCATCAAGTGTCAGTGAGATTCCTCCGCCTGGTCGGGGATCCAGCCTTTCTAGATCTAGATTGACTTCAAGGCTTTGACTGCCAAGCTGGCTGCGTTATGAATCCCGCCAAGCGAGAAGCGAGAGAGCGGACAAAAAGGTCTTGAACCATGCCTGTTCAAGTCGAAGTGCCGATTCAAACTGGAGGGGACCCCGGAGACGGGGCTCAAGCCCGGAGCAAGGGTCTCCCTTATGAAGACTCTTGGAAGGTTGATGTCTGCGGGCCGGCCTGCGGGTGCATTTTCGGTGTTCAAAGCACCCGTGGCCGGCCAAACAAAAGCATCGGGTCTCCGCACTCACTGTCTTGTGTCTGGGCTTCGTAGACACTGTTATAACAGAGAATGCTTTCAAATTCCTCCTTTCTCCTTAGTAAGATACCCCATCGTGCTCAAAAGTTTTCATCTGCAGGTCCGAGAGGCGTTAGCTCTTGAGTCTTTGCTGAACCTGTATAAAATGCTAAGGCAACTTGACCAAGAAATGTTTCCCAGTTGCACAGATCTGTAGACCCTTCCGGCTGCCTCAGAAAGCAGAATCTCCCATCCCTAACGACTGCATACCCGAAGCTCTGAATGCTAAACGGCTAAGTGCCTTCAGCCTAGAGCGAGGCCCTTTTTCTTATGTGGCCTCCGGCAGTTGTCCATCTTGTGATTTCCTTTTTGTGGCTTTGCATATTGGAGGTTTGGGATGTAAAGCTTCCGCGCTTAGGATGTAGGATGGTACAGGATGCAGACTTTCGAGCACACTTGAAGTCCGCATTTCCTGTCGCGTAAAGCCGGCGCAGGCGCCAAGGCCGCGCGTGCGGGCGATTCCGCCTCCAAGCAGCTTCAAGCTCTGCGGCCCGAGGGAGGGGGCAAGCAGAGGTTTCTACCCAGACATCCCCAAAGTTTGGTGGCTTGGGTGCTCAAGTGCTGGGGCGGTTTGGCATTATTGTCAATGGCTTCCGGCCGGGGAGTTTTGGGCTTGGGTTTTAGAGGCTTTGTGGACGTTGGAGTTCCGTGATACAGGTGTAGAGCTTCGAGCTATTCGATTTCTATGGGGGTGTCTCAGGAAGGAGGCACAAGCCACGCGCCCTATGGCCAGACTTTGTGGTTGAAAAGAATGCTCATGGTTGCTTCAACCCGAAGCCCTACCCAAAAAGCCCCCACAAACAAGCACGCCCTGCGAAGCCCTTATGAAACACTGTTATATAATCCCAATGACCATCGAGAGGTCCCTCTGTTCCCCCGCTCTTCTTCGAGGGCCAAGCCATGGATAGGTGGCCGGGTGGGATGGGCTGGGCAGGGGTGTTACGGAGAATTTCGCACTTGCAAGACGCAACCCCTGAATCCTGTTCCGCACGGTTGCTATGAGTGCTTGATAAGCTTCTGAGCGTTTTCTTTTTCTGGGGGTTGCCCCCGTCGTGATTCTACGATGGCTCTTGCAGCAGATGGGGTTATTTGCATCTGACTTCGTGTGTTACGGTTTGCAGTTTATGCCTTCCGAGTTTAAGATCATGGTCGTTGATGCTGAAATCGACAGGCTAGCTGTTCTCCTTCCGGGTGCCTTCGACAGAGCACTTGCACAGTGGAGGGGTGGCGGGGACGAGGGTGACGGTGTCATGGTCTTTCTGTTTTGCATCGCTTCTCGAGCACCCCCGAACAGTTCATGAGTGTCGGGAAACGGAGCAAAAAAGCAACAGACAGGAGGTATCCAAAATCCGAAGAGGATCTTAGTCATGGAGCCTAAAATATGTCACCAAACAGTGATAGATAGGAGAACTTCCTTGAGACACTGCAAGATGGTGTCATGCCTAGCATGCCACATGTGAATCCTCCTCTGCCACTGTGGCCCAACGCAAGGGCCTGCTCGACACAAGGTAGCCTACCGACATCGCTCTCTGAACCCCAACCCGCGATATCACAGCCCGCAAGCAAAAACTAGTAATGTAATACTGATACTATATACTAGGGTTCCTGTATATAGGTATAAATAAGTAATTGCTATATAGATATACACATACACATACACATGTATATGTATACATATATACACACATACTTACATACTTACGGGATAAAGACCCCACTCAAATCTAATTTTCAGGCTTAATTTCTAGGCTTCAAAGCCCTCAAGCAGCAAGTCGTGCAAAAGCCGGGATCCCCTGGAAGGCCCGTGGCCGACAATGACATGGGGGTTTCTTAGAGTTGGGTCCTCATAATGAAATCCCACATGGTCCTACCAAACAGGTGTCGTGAATGAACAAAACAAGAGCAATTGACACAGCAGGCAGCGTGAATATCAAGCGTGTCAAATGGGTGCATCGGACCGACATGGACAAATCCTGGACGAACAGCAGCAGCAACAGCAGCAGTAATTATTTCTCGCCACGGCCAGGGCCGACTTTCTAAGACTCCAAGCCCTGGAACCTCAAACCCTGGAGGCGACCCTCTGCCCCAGCTGCCCAGGTTCGAACGCGAGGTCACCCGCATCTATGCTGTCGATCACTCCAAGCCGCCATTGGGGGAGGGCAGCCCGGACTTTAACAATGTGCTCGAGTGTGCCAGTACATGGCTGAGACCGACAGACTTGAGGCAACTCTGCAGCGATTGCTGCTAATGATTTTGATGGTAGTTGTGAGAATGATGGGCCCTTGTTGTTAGTAGCCCTGCTATGTCACAGTAGATTTTGCTACTAGTGGTGCAGCTGCTATTATTCTTCGCGACATTTGTTGTTGCCCGTTGGTGCTGGCCTTCCTGTACGTGCCGAGTCTCACGTGCCGCAATAGCGATGACGGTAGAACCTGCTACTCTGCTCCTGCTACTGCTGCTGCTACTCGCACTTCCACTCCCACTCGTACTTCTCCTCCTCCTCCTCCTGCTCCTCCTGCTCCTCCTCCTGCTCCTGCTCCTGCTCCTGCTCCTACTCCTCCTCCCCTCCTATAGCACTACTACTGCTGACTACTTACTGCTGATTCCGGTTACTCCTACTCCTACTACTACTACTACTACCACCACTACCACTACAACTACTACCACGAATACTACTACCACTGCTACTACGACTACTACTAATACTGCTACTACTACTACTACTACTACCACTACTTCTAACGACTGCTACTACTGCTACTACTACTGCTACTACTGCTACTGCTGCTGCTGCTGCTGCTACTACTACTACTACTAGGTTGCTACTACTACCTAGTACTACTTAGTACTACCTAGTAGTACTACCTAGTACTACCTAGTACTACTTAGTACTACCTAGTA